TGAAGTTGGATTTCGATTGAACTTGCCAGATCAAACAGGAGAATTGCTGTTAGATTGGCCTAAACGTTTCGACATTATTTGTGGAATTGCTCGGGGTCTCCTCTATCTGCATCAAGATTCCAGGCTAAGAATTATTCATAGAGATCTGAAAGCAAGTAATGTTTTACTTGATAATGAAATGAATCCGAAAATTTCAGACTTTGGTTTGGCTAGAATATTAGTTGGAGGTGATCAGACTGGCGGAAATACAAACAGAGTGGTTGGAACATAGTACGTTTCTCTTGAAATTATTGCCACGATCTACTTTTCATTCTCATCGGTGGATTATTATGTTCTCACTGCTCTATGATGTTTCTGTGTTTTACAGCGGTTACATGGCACCGGAATATGCTCTTGATGGGCTATTTTCTGTCAAATCAGATGTCTTTAGCTTTGGTATTTTGGTCTTGGAGGTCATAAGTGGAATAAAAAACAAGGGATTCTACCATCCAAACCACAGCCAAAACCTTGTTGGACATGTAAGTAGCAAGACTAAGCTTCATACATAGAGACCAATGGATAACAATTGACGGAGTTTTTTGACATGTTTCAGGCATGGAAATTATGGAACGAAGGCCGGCCTTTAGAACTGATGGATACATGTTTAGCAAGCTCATGTATGCTATCAGAAGCGTTACGTTGCATCCACGTTAGTCTCCTATGTGTGCAACATCATCCTGAGGACAGGCCAAACATGGCATCTGTGGTTATAATGTTGGGAAGTGAGATTGCATTGGCTCACCCCAAACAACCTGGTTTCTTTACAAAAATGGAATCACACGAAGCAGGTAACCAATCGTCTTCAACCAATGAAATATCAATTTCGCTTTTGGAGCCTCGATAGGGTCGTTTAGCTGTGTATAGGTTAAACACCTAACGCGTGCGTGGTCAGGAAACAAGCAGTTTGATATACAGATCCAGGTGGTCTGTCTGTTATTGACCAATAGATGGGGCTCTTTATAGATGGTTCAAAGCAGGCAAGAATGATAAAAGAAAATTTGGTTATTCTTCTATACTACATTGATATACATCTTTCTTTACCAAAGTCTTTGTATATACACAGTGCCTCCTTGAACAATTTTTGAATGAGGCTACGAGAGATTCGTATGTTCTTTCCAACAGGCCCAATAGAAGGGCTTAGCATTTTACTGTCGGACATGACCCTTGGGTTGTAATTTTCATATTATTCAGTCAATAAATTTGGAGGTTTTCTCAGTTCCTGATAAATTCCAGATTGGTAGTGAATTTTAACTTAGGGGACAGTGCATATTTGCTTTATGGTCAGATATTAAATTGTATGTTGCTCAAGGTTAGCATCAGGGCGGCCCTGAGGTTTTAGGGGCTTGTACAAACTATAAGCAGAAAACACCTAAAAATAAGCCAAGTGTGGTGGTGGTCAGACACTTCAACTCATACAGAATTGTTTTGGGTTCAAAACTGCTTGATACTTTTTATGAACTTCTTGTTGGAGTTAATGATTAATACGAAAAAAAGGAATATCGGGGAGATTCAAACTAGTTTGTTAAGAAGCGGAAGAACCACAGTGTGCACGTTTGAATATATGTATTCCCCCACTTTTCTTCCTTCTCCAAGTTCAACCATTGAAGGAAAATTTGTAAAAAACTAAGTTCATTAAGCAACTTATTGCATGCATTTAACAATTAAATGGCAGAAGTATGTTTGTATGCACTTTGAAACAAAACTTTAACTATGAAATTCAAAACCTAGTAGTTGTGATGAACCAAGACTCAACTCAAATCAAAGAGATAGAGTTGAGATTTCTTCATACCTTTAGAGTTCCTCTTTACATGAGCAAAGGCTAATTCATGCCTCGCCTTGAGTTAGGACTTCATGGCCTTCATCTTCATCTTGTAGCCTCCTTGGATTCTTCAATTTGGATGCTTGAATGATTTTCCAAAAGTCCCTAAAGTTGGAGACCTCTGAGTTCTGACACCAAAGATGGTGAAGGAAGTAGATGAGCAACCATGGGAGTAAAGAGTACTAATAAAACTCCCATGGTAGCCAGCCTCCTACAGGAAGAAGAGAGCTTTGTGTTTTTCTCTCTTTGCATCTTGGAAAACCCTAATGAGGTTAAGCCTTATAACTTCACTTATATACCATCCAACAATTGAGTGGTCAACTTGAAAATAAAGGCAACCCTTCTCTATGGCCGGCCTCACTATGTTAGAGGGCCTTGTGCCCTTTTGTGTTTAAGTTGTCATACAACTTAAGATTATGGGCATGAGGCTCCTTTTAGCAAGGCTCAAAACTAACCCAAGGTCTAAAACGAACTTATTTGTTTAATTAATTAACTTAATTCTAACCACAAACAATTAAACTATTTACTTATTCTTACTCATTTTCATTAAATCCAACAACCTTTACGTTACACGGTGTGTGATCCATTAGACTCCTTTCAGCGAGGCAATGAGCGATCAAAACGTTTTCTAATTGATTGTGAATTGAAACTTACTTTCAATCCTCCCTCTAGTGATTATACACCTTTAGGGTTTCCACAAGCTATGAGTAACATCTAGCAGTATATTATGTCTACCCAAGCTAATCAGAAGATGATGGAGAACCTATTCAGTTTGGGACTACAAATGCAATATTGTCTTTCTCTAATACAATACTCTTGAACAATTGTTTGGTTTGATAGTTTATTCATGTCTACTATCCAATATGATTCTCTTACTTACATGATTATCTTAAATGTGATTTGGAACGACTTTCTAAATCTCATTCATACTTGGCCGGAAATTCTTAATTGTATCATTAGAGTATTCTCTCTCAACGGTTTGAATGTTAGAGATCCCTTGTTATGCATTCACTTGCCTCCACAGTTAAGTACTCAACCGCATCTATGCTATGCACACCCTCTGATAGAGTGTCTTTGACACAGTCAAAGATCAAAGACCTAACCACAAGATAACTATGATTAGGGGTGGGCAAAGGGGTTCTAGACCTGCAGGTCGGGGCTTGTACCCGCGATTCTAAACACAAAACACAAAACAGATTGGGACGAGGCGGTATACGAAATTAGTAGGGCGGGGTGGTTCTAAAAATAGAAGGGAACGGGCCCCCGACCCAACACGTTTCTAGCATAGAATTAATTGGATTAGAGTTTTATCCTCATCCCAATCTTCTCAAATACACAAACTCAGACAGAGTTATTTGGTTTCCCTTTCTTCCATTACTTTACACTTCGATCTTTCCTCCTCAATTGCTCTCACCATCCCAGTTCTGTTCGTCGCCATTATCATCAGACCTCGATCCAAGGTAATTGAAATCCGCTCTCCTCTTTTTTTTCTGTCAATTTATAGCGAATTTTTTCCTTTTTTGTAGATTTAATTTTTGAATGCATGCAAGGAATTCATATGAGAAATGCAATTGTGGTTGATGATCTAGTGCTCCTTGATTTCTAATGTAACCTTAAACCTCTACTATGTGTGTCTCTCTCTCTCACTCTTTCAAAATCAGTCCATCTGTCGAACTCGAATGGACGAACAACGAAGTCGAAGAACTAATTATCCATCCCCTCCATATGACTCAGATTCATAGTTTTTTAAGGTATTATGTTTTAGGGATTTAGTATTGAAAATTAAATTAGGGTTTTCTAGATTTAGGGATTTTGTTGGGTTAGGAATCTTAACCTCTGTTCTGTTCCAATTTCAAATCTTTTATTCAAATAATTTGGGTGGATGGGGTCAAAATTAGGATTAAGCATCAACTGGTATCAGTTTGGGAATTTAACCAACGTTAAAATGGGATCATGGTATCTTTGAGAACTCTAATTTCAATGATTTGAGATTATATTTATATGTTGATGTGCACAATCTGTGTTTCATTACTCCTAATGTGTAATATGTGATGTTGCTGCTATGCACTGCAGTGTAGCGGCCGCTGCCCCATTTTAAAATAATTTAAAAAATTGGAAAAAAAAAAATAGAGTTAGACCCGTGAACCGGCCCGTTTGAAACAGGTCAGGTAAGGTCTGGTTCTAAAACTAAAAATCTTTGTACCCGGCATGGCTCGCCTCGTTACAATTTAAAATGGGCAAGGTTCGATTCCTTCAAAATTGGGCTCGGCCCGACCCGTGCCCACCCTTAACTATGATGCGTCTAGTGAAATGACTACTTTGCATTATCCCAACCATGTGTTCTCATGTGACATAAGTATGAGAACCCCTTGTTGATCGCGTTTAGTAGACTCATTCTCTATTGAGCACCTATATATTTGTATTGATATCAATCACACCAATGACTCAAGACCAATCACTCTTCCGAAGAGAAGACAACATGTACTAATCTTAATGGATCATTAATGCCCAATTGGCAATCTTATGATTATGAACGTGTAGGATATGTGTACAAAAGAGAATGGTCTCATGAATCTAACTTCTATAGATCACATTCTCCTAATTACATATTCCTTAGATTGATGGAGAAGGAAAGTAGGGGTTGTCGAGGAAGACTGGGGGGGGTGTGGGAGTCTAGTTGATGAGAAGAGGATGTTACGGTTTAGTAGTATTCCTCTTCACATTATTGCTAGCCCATTATGAGGCTAAGTCCACCCCTACCCCTTACTGTAGATAATATTGTTTGCTTAAAAATACATGTGAAATGTCTGTAAAGTATTATCATATGATTGAGTTTAGAGCACACTAGCAATTGAGCATGCATAATGCCGCGGGTTTTAAAATTGTGTTAAACGTATGAAATATATTAAAATCTATTTACATCCATATCAAAATTTATTTACATATTTATGTTCAATAAGAAATAAAAGATAAGAGATTAGATGTCAAATGAATCCATTGTGATGCTTATCAAATACCCTACACTACGGATTCTTATTAGTAAAGAACCATATGAGAAAGTGATATTAATGTCCCAAATCTTCGTGAAAAACCATAAAATGGTCACTTCCAAATTCAGGTTTTCCAAATACCCCACATGATATGAAAAAAGTGAATATGTTCCAAAGCTTTGTAAAAACTATAATAAGATCTCTTCCAAGGACATGAATTATATCCCTCACAATTGTTACAATTTTATTCAAATACAAACATGTATAATGCTCCCAGATTCAATTATCCAGAGACCAAATATTGGGAACTTTCGAATTATAAGCTCATTGGACATAACATCCCAACTATAGGCATAGGGAGATTCGAAATCACACGGGTATGAAAAGAGAAGCAAAAGAAAAAGCAAAAGTAGGAGAGTCCACTCACCCTAGGTGAATATGCTCGTCTACGTTTCCAAAAATTAGTCCGTCACAGCTGCTAAATCCTTTTCAACTTTGTGCAAAAAAAATCTCTTTCTAATTTTTACTTTAAGTGCTGATTTCAAATCGGTGATCCGCTTCTCACCCTGATAACATTTAACAATTGCAATAATTAAATTTTATTGGTAAGGGAAAAGAGAAGGGTAAGTAATAAGCAAAGTAGACATACGTAACAAACCAACAGAGAGAGAGAGAGAGAGAGAGAGAGAGAGAGAGAGAGAGAGAGATAGAGAGACTTAATGGTTTTATATGAAACTTGAATTCCTTTAACTCTTAGCCTTCTAATAGTTGCAAGCAAAATTGAGGTTCACATGCTATGAAAGTGCTATTAAGATTTCATATAGAAAAGGTCAGTTGTTTCTTATTTTTTGTACTATTATTGAATTTTGAAAGTCTAAACGGTTGGGTTTTCTGGTTGCCTCTTTAGATTTTGAAAAGAAAAAAAAAGTACAAAAATATAAAGTGCAGGGAAGATAAACCACAAATCTCTTAATTAGCAAGGACTAAAATATGCATAAAAGCATTTGGAGTCAGGAAACATCCATAGAAGAGAATGCGTGTGTGTTCTGTCACTCTCTGTTCATGTTTACCTCAACCACAGCCAAAATTTGATTTTTCACACCCAATTTGATCAATTAAATGGCTTTGCTTATTGGTATCTTGAAAATGTCATCGAAACCCATCCCCATTATCAAAGAAATTAAAGAGGTAAAATCCACTGACTAATGATTAAAGCATGGAATGTATGAAAACTAAAATTATTGACAAAAGATACAACAAAGATAAAAGAACTCCTGTAATTGGAAAACAAAACCCAATACACAGTGAATGACGATAAACACGTTACATAGTAAAAGAAAACTACCTCAATAGACCATCCATCCATCCACCACAAAACATCTAAAGAGTTGCCATCGGTTGTCGAGAAGACATGTTCTTCACGAATGTTAAGTCCTAAATCCGAAAGCAAGGAAGAAAGCTACAAAAAATGACATAAGTTAGAAGGATGCGTACTTCTGCAGTTATCTTGGATCCTACAACATAAACAATGCACATACTATATGTATCAAATGCACTGAATAGTCTACTGCTACCCATAAATTCATTTTCCACTTCTCTTACAATTTGAAGGCTATAGATTTATAACTTTATATTAAACGAAAGAAATTATAATGACAAAGAACTCTTCCAACGTCTTCTGAAAATTATATTTAATACCCAAGCTTACTGTATTGAGGTGCCATCGTGTTTAGAGTCTAGACTCTAGACACAAAAACATCTGATGGAGAACCATAAAACATGAGTGACAGTCAACCACGGGAAATACAATTATAGAAGAACCAACAACTAATAGCATAAAATTAAGCATCAACTCAAACTTAATCACTAAGAGAGAAGTAGCAACTTTCGTAATTTCTTTTTCGGTACAAAGGAATCAACATCCGAATACATGGATAATGTTGTTTGTTAAACAACTCTCCTCCTCTGCTTCTTCAAAACTCAAAACTTTCACACTCATTGAATCAAGTAAGCCTTGTTAATACCCTTTTGGAGTTTGATCTACCAGTTCTTTAATAATGCAAACAAAACTACATAGTTTTACAGACACAATCATATAACAAAAGTCTAGTGGCACATTACTTTGAAGTAGCTAGAGCTGAATGCAATACATCTTCTAGATAGTTCTTCGCAGCAGCATATTGCCTTTTCTTGTCCTCAATTGTTAAAGCATCCAAGGCTTTATCCTACACGAATACATATCTCATAAACCTCCCAATCTTTCTAGGACCTAAATAAAATTTGACCAATTAACCAAAGTAGAAAACTACTAGATGCTCAAAGTGTCATGAACAGACTTTGTCTTCTCTAATTCCTTTCTATGTTCGGCCAATTCAACCAGCACCCCGTGGCTAATCTTTGGGGTGTAGTCCATGCAACCAAGTTCTCACATTCAAAACCCCCCTCCCCCCCCCCCCCAACAAACCCAGAACATTAATGAAAAAAAAATTAATCCTTAAATTCAATTAGACAAAATCAAGAAAATTTCTCTAAAGCCTAATTTTATTAGATCACAAATTCGAAACAGATTTTAACATGCAATACAGCTATAAGATAAGAATCCTTTTAGACTAACCTCGACGGTGGCCGTCGCCATAATCGTCGGAAAACTTGAATCCAATGTTGATGTGAAATTCAACCTGGAAGGTTGAAGAAGAGAAATTTCAACTGGAAAGATGTGGAGCACGAGTGGCTACTTGGTGAGGAGAAGTCACTCAAGAAGGTTTTCAAATGGAGTTCAGTGATGGGGAACTCTAAGTATCATTGGTTTCAGATGATCGGTGAAGGGGAGGAAATTGAGAGCGAGGGAGGGCTAGTTCGAAAGGGACAAAAATCCCCAACACTTAAAAGCTAAAAAAACCCAGAAATCCCTAAAAATCCCACAAATTCAAAACCACAAAAATCCAATCTAAAACAGCCAATCACCAAGATCGTTTAACATGAATCACGGCCATCCAAACACAAACTGCAGTTCATAACTATTGTACAAAGTAGAACTCTTACCTACAGATCCACCGCGTCCTTGCGACTGCCAATACTGATCACTCGCAAACAATTGGATCAGAATCGAAATGAAAGAGATAGAGAGATCGAAAAAGGCAAACACAGATGGAGAGAGAGAGAAGAAAAGAAGAGGAAAGGGAAAATGAAAGATGCTGAACACGAAAAGTGAAAATGAAAGATAAAGCAAGCAACCCAGTCGAAAGAAAGAACCCAATGATGATCAACACGTGGATCAAATGGGCAGAATCGACTTTTGACTGTAGAAAAGTGAAAACAGCACGGCAAGCTGAGAAGAAATCAGGGCATTTCCGTTCTATCACTATTGATGAATAGTGCCAAACTCAACTGAGTTTTAGTATATACTAGCAAAAAGGCCCGCGCGACGCGAGTTGACAACACTAATTCCACATAATTACAACAATGTTAATAATTTTATTCCAATTATATTCACGTGTACCATATCCCTCTACAATACCCCGCCACCAAAGGGGGTTCATGATTCGTTGTAACGCATGCTTTAAATTCAGAAACTTTTATTCCTTTTTTGTTCTTTAATTATTAAATTTATAATCTTTGATCGATACATATCTTATATTAAGAAGACATCATACAATTTACAATAACAACGAATGTTTTACACTGTGCAAGTGGAGCAGCTTTCATTTGCCAATTTCTTATGTGATAATGCAAGCTCCATTGCTGAATTAAAAAAGAGTAGATAAAATTGAACCCAAAAGGCAAAAGCCTTCTCTAACAAATAGATACATATAAACAGTTGTTTGTGATATAGATATGGGTGTACCTGGAAATAGAGATGCACTGAGTCGGAGAAAGCAAAGAGAGAGAATAGAATTTTGGAAGAATAATGGACGATGACAAACTGCGCGGCCAGAGCTATTGGTGGCGGTGATTCTGCATCGAAAGACAGTTAGAACAAAGTATTCAATAAATCTTACAGAACTGTAATAATTCAGTCATAAGCTTCAGATCATTGGCATTTCAATTATAAGGATTCATAATTTCAAATTTTAAGATAGAATTAACGGTTTACAAAATTAGAGACAGCTGATGGCATAGCGTACTGGCTTCAAGTATGCTAAAGTTAGACATAATCTTCCGTATGTAGAGGTGTTTTCTTTTCTGAATTTTTCCTGCAACGGTTCATAGCTGGTTTCTACAAATTTTGAAAACGGGAGCTGTTAGTATGGATGTGTGTTAAATTTATCTCGTAACAATAGGACGTATAAGAAAACAAAGTGAAGGTGCATATATAATCCATGTTTCCCTCTTTTTTCATCTGCTTTATCAGATAAATGTGAGTACTAAATTAGTGCATTTAAATTAAAAAAAGTTGACAGAGGCATAATTGGAGAAAGAAAAGGTCTTTATAGTTTCTATCAATAAAAATCAAAAGATGCTTCATAATTGGACATAGAAAATGAGATATGGCCAGGTCAAAATGGCGGTTCGCAGGTGAAAAATGACCCACTTTTTGGGTTTCTCCTTTCCCCTCCTTACTCCCCCTTCCCATTGATCACTCTTCCCTTCCTTTTCTTTCCCGCTGCCACCTGGCAGCATCCAGTCCTCTTTTTTTTTTTCCTTCCCTCCTAATTCGTTCTCCTTTTCTCTCCTATTTCTAATTGGTCCCTTACTCTCTCATCTCATTGGTCCCTTTCCCACAAGGTCGGAGTTTCAAAATAAATTAGAAATCTATAATTTAGTAACAACTTCAAATGTCCATAACTATACTGTTAAAATCCGGACTCCCAAATGGCTTTCGCTTATGTGCTCGTAGTTTTGAGATCTATTCGAAAATGTTACTTGTGACCTCGAAAGGTCAACGAATCTTAAAGATTAATTACGAAAATTCAAACCCGATAACTATTCGATTTAATTCCCAAAATTTACAGAATTAAAATTAAGTAATAAAAATAACGTAAACGTGAAATACGAATTTAAATTACGAGATACATAATGAATAGTGAAATTCTAAGGACGGGATTTCACAATAGAAGTGACACACCCCGACCCAGAAAGTCCACTTGGACCCTGAATCGAGCTGTGCTGGCCGACACCTGGAAGGTGACGAAGCCATAAAATGTGATAGTGTATAAAAAGTGAATGAATTTGATTCCAAAAGTGTCTAAATACCAGAGTGCGCTACGAGTGGGAGCGAACCCATTTCACGCGCGATGTCAGAGCATAAGTAAGGTACAGTAATGTGAGTAAGAATCATACCCTCAAAAATATCCATCAATACTAAGATTCGTCACAGATTCTTGTCGATACAAACTCGATAGCTAAAACCTGGAGGACACCAAACAAAAGGTGTGAGTAAGCAATAAAACCAAGCTTCCCAAAGTTACTACCTCTCTAAAAGTAATGCCCCTAAATGTAAAACCCGTATCGTTTTCCATAAGACAGTATAACATATATACATATATCCAAACCATACTCGGAAATGACCAAAACCACGGTTTGCCATCAAATCCACCATACATTAATAAGTAGGCCAAATGAACTAAATCAATACAAAGTGATATATCAGTCAGAGTCATCTAAAATGACATGTACAAATTAACCGTATCTCGTCAATCATGGCTAGTATATAAGTCGGAGTCACCTATAGTGACCTGTACGACTTATCCACATCTCGTCAATCCTGGATAGCATATAAGTCGGAGTCACCTATAGTGACCTGTACGACTTATCCATATCTCGTCAATCCTGGATAGCATGTAAGTCGGAGTCACCTATAGTGACCTGTACGACTTATCCATTTCTCGTCAATCCTGGATAGCATGTAAGTCGGAGTCACCTATAGTGACCTGTACGACTTATCCATATCTCGTCAATCCTGGCTAGCGTGTAAGTCAGAGTCACTTATAGTGACCTGTACGACTTATCCACATCTCGTCAATCCTGGATAGCATGTAAGTCGGAGTCACCTATAGTGACCTGTACGACTTATCCATATCTCGTCAATCCTAGCTAGCATGTAAGTCGGAGTCACCTATAGTGACCTGTACGACTTATCCATATCTCGTCAATCCTGCGTTCACCTTGCACTTGAAAGCATTCTCAATAATTATATGCAAGTAATCTACATATTGATATAACATGATGCAATCTAATACTGAACCATGTCGTAGCATTTTCAATTATAAACAATATGGTGTGAAGTGTACAATCAGTAACGCCCTACTCCCAAACTACTTATTTTCAGAGGAATTAACACTAATTTAACCAACTAATTCATAAAACTAAAACTTGTCTTTACCAATTTCCTTCGCATTACTCAATTTCCCAAGCAAGGCTTTTGTCTCAAATATTTTATGGCTGCATCTAACGTCTCGTTAGACTGCCTACGTACCCTAGACAGGGATCAAGCCATTCGTAGTTCATATAGGTACTTTAAGCATTCGCAATAATTATACGAAGGTAATATACCTAATCAATTTAAAAGTGTCGATAGAATTCTCAACAATATGTACGATAAAAAGGAAAAGATCTACTCACCTGGAGTCCACGCTGTACTACTCTAGCACGCGCATCGAGGCATCCTGAATGATCGGTCCCTGCCACGAAGTCCAAAAATGGACGGAAGATGGTCAATTTTGCCCACGAAGCCGGCGGGTGCCTAAAACTTCCCGACGTCGATTCGTCGTCCACGGTGGTCCAACGGGGTCAAGGTTGGTTGGGTTTTGCTCCTGGGATGATGGGCTACAAAGCCCAAGTGGTGGCATCGGCCATTGCTTTGCCGATTTGCCGGAAAATCGAAAAGGGTGGCCGGAGCACCATTGATTTTCGTCAACTTTCGTGGCCTCAAACCGCCTCATACCATGGTTAATCAAGGTGGTTCTTGGGTGGGTTTTGTAGAGGGGAATGAGAGCTTCAAGATGGTGGTGGTGGCATCGAAAAACTCCACCGGAGTTGGCCGGAATCGGCCTCGGAAAATGGGCACCCGCGGTGGTGCGGGTGGACGAAACCCACTTTTTTTTTTTTTTTTTTTTTTTTCCTTTTCTTTCTTCCAATTCTGATTGGGCCTTTCCCCACAAGGGGGAGTTTAATTTAAATAAACGTTAAACCTTGAATAACCAATTTCGAACGTCCGTAACTATACCGTTATAATCCGGACTCGCAAACAGCTTTTGCCGATACGTTCGTACCAATAAGTACTACGAGGATATGCTAAAAGAATAAGGCCCACATCTCTCGAGTCGATGATCAACGGAAGTCAAAGTCCTTGCCTCTAGGGCAATTTTGTAAATTCACGCTTTTAAAATAAAATAAAAACGTAAAATTTGGAACGGGTTGTCACAATCTACCCACCTTAAGAAAATTTCGTCCTCGAAATTTAATATCATCAGTCGAATGTAGAATACTCAAAATTAAAGAGATATATGCATGTAAATACATACACGAGGAAGACATCAAGTTATGGCGACTACATAAAAGAGGATGACATTCCGTCATTATCGGAGTGTTATGACTCTCCTTTCATGCCTCCAAATTCCTACTTTCCTTCTCTTTTACATAAACGTGTTCAAAGCGTAACGCACTTCGAAATTTAGCATGTAGTATTTTTGGGTCAAGCCTAAACAACAATTAACGAATTAAATAAGTAAATACAAATATTAACGTAGAATAATCTACTTGTTTATTTGCTTAACAATCCAACGAATAAGTTATTAATATTATGGTCTGCACCCCCACAAAACCGACAATTCACTGTTGTCTTGATAAGCAAGTAACAATTCCCGAGGGTGCAATATTACCATCTTGCCCCTCAATGGGAAATACACATACCAGCCTCGATCGTACTCATTCACTACCTTCTGAGGCAACATCGTCAATAACATAAATTTTCTACATCACAATCTCAATCAAATATTTGTTCGCAGCAATCTGCTGTAAATCACGAACTACACATACAATATTTGTATTATATTTCGAAGGATACTATATTCCTAAACAGGAATGTAACCGTAGTTACCCATAATTCTAACAAAAGTATGCGTCCATTAAATATGCGCTGTGCGTAAAATCTCCATACATCAACCCCAATGATACCATAGTTAACCCGAAATTGTAACCGTGGTTACAAGTGATTAGAATGGAGGTAAGGATATACTGCAACCATGCTACTGGTGGGACAAACAAGATGCAACTCATCCACAAAGGTCTGAGTAACTCATTTCAAACTAATCGTTAATCTAGGGTTAGAAATGCGATACTGAACAACTTCTAATACTCAAAACCTTCATAACGACTTCCAAAGGCTTGGAAGTGAAACATGTAACATGATGAAATATAAATACACCAAGATGATAATCTTGTCAGGTTTCTGTTTGCTGAATTTGTATAGAAGTCTAGGAATAGTTTTCTCAAAAAGTCATCGTCCTCTGGACGCAATTAGAAAATTGTAGTTGCCCAAGGAAGTTTGAACTCTATATCCTCAATATCCCCACAACATTAATCAAAAGCAAGGTTCATCTAGAGTGAGGATTCATTTAAAACACATCAAAGGAAGCCTTGATTTTATCTCTTCCCTACTTCCACTTTTGATCACGTCACAAAGAGAACTTCTAAATCACATCACCCGAAGAGGTTGACTACGTCCCACTTCTAACTTAGTGGTCTTTACAAGTGTCTTGTTGTTGAAATTTCAACACCCATTTTTAGGAAACAACTATTGCCAATACTTCAATTTTTAGAGCAAGAAAAATATTGTTTTATACTTAAGTAAACAACCACCAATTGGAACATCAT